GATTCCTTGAGGTGGAATGAACTGGAACACACGCACCTCGTCTCCCTGGACATTGACTGTGCGTGGTTGATCAAGCGCAATTTCTGATGCACCTTCGGTTATTTGCACTGTGAAAGAAAGTCCAATGCCTTTTCCCACCACGGATAACAACTTCTCTCCTGTGTTTTGATTGTTGGTAAAACCGGTTGGACAAATGCTTATTGTGTTCCAAACTGATGTTGGCTCTGAAACGTCCACATGACCAAGTAGAGACGACTCACCTTGCTGGTACAGGGAAAGTTGCAAGAAACCTAAAAATAAAAGGGATAATCTAGCGCATAAATATATCAATAACTATCAAAACAGATGATAATAAGATCTCATAAGAGCCTACTAATGTGGCGTTACTGTTCACTCTATTAGCTCGCTTGCCTTCTGGTCTCTGAATCAAGTTGGGCTTCTTGCTGCAGACACTGTGTTCTAATTTTAGATTCAAGAGAGACATTCAGCTCACAAATTTCTCCAAATCTCTCTAAATTGTAAGGAATGTTAGGGAAGGTCACAGACTCATATTCTCCCAATAAAATCAAACCAGCAAATGACGAATGTATCTTCACAGGATAACTGATTCTTAGATCACTATAGAAAAGGAAGTCTGAAAATGCTGAGGCTTCTTCTTCTGAGCGCTATTATCAGTAAAAATGTTTTACTTTTCATAAATCACACCCAAGTTCCACATATCAGAGCAAAAATCTACTCTTATTTCTCTATGCCCTTTAATTTTTATAGTATTTTTTAGAAACATGGTTCAGATTTGGAGACTTTATTTCTACTTCCTACTTAAACCTGCCGTGACTAATCCTAAGCGCACAGACTAGGAATAAAAAGAACTAATAGAAAGAAAAAAGTTGTTTGGACAATCAGACTCATGAGCGTGTCACTTAATAGGAGAGTACTGACCATTATCGAGCTGGTAGATCGCTGCAGACTGTGAAATTAAAAAAAAAAGAAAAGCAGTCTGCATATTTAAGATCACTGAACAAGATCAAATCAGACTTTTGAAACCGATTGAGCGAAACCCGTCGTTTCCAAGTAGCGACTGATCTCTCTGACTATTGGAATCTGAAAGATATTTGAATACGCAATACGGGTGCACAGGCTGGATAAATCTAAATAAATAACATCTGAAATATGTTGCGCTGTCAGAAGTGAATTAGTTAAACAAAACTAAGTACAAGAACGGCAGGAGCTAAGCTGATGTGTTTCAAGTTTCTTGTGGTAACGCTAGTTTCACTTTTGCTCTTACAAGGACAGTATATCCTGAAATTGCTAGAAGTTTAAAGGTAGCATTTTGTTCATTGGTGGAATGCCACAACAATAATGCTCTGGTTTAACCGTAATTTTCGGAAATAAAGATCCTTCGTAAGAAGCAACCACCCGAAGAATGCATGAGTGGCACTGGATTCAGTAAAAGTTTTAATTGTACGTCTCGAAAGAAGGAACCCTAATCTGTGCAAACAGCGAATTGCTTCAGGAAAAGCTGCAAAATCCTGAATTGATAATAGTTATCACTTTCGGAATTTTCAAAATCACTTTCGGATCAGTAAAGAATAATCAAGAAATTAAATCAATATAGAAAGAGCGATGTTGTGTCTTCATTAAACCAAACGTCGACAAAACTTCGCTCTCTAAGAAGTCGGTAAGACCACTCTATCAAACTGGTTATGCCCTCACCTTTTTCGTTGTCATTCCTTTTAGTTTTCATGCTTAAAAAGCTCCCAGGTTTGGCTAACTTCAAAACGCAAGATAGCTGCAGATAGCTGTTGTTGGATAGTGTGCCAGTGATCTCTATCACCATCGTCTGGACATTTGAAACGTTCATACCGGACGAACATATTGCCTGAAGATGCCCAAATGCTGAGGGGCACCACGCGAGTAGAAGTAGGAATAAATGTAAAAGGATTGAAAACATCCTAAAAAGCAAGGCTTGTGTTGCTTTATTTAGACAGCGCCTTATCTTGTTGGCCGTGCTGCGTGCAAACAAGAGACCTGTGTTTTTACGCCTCTATGATTCTCAATATGACACATTGGAAAGACAAAAGCCTAGTTATAATAGATAATAAATTGCCGTCTTTTTTAAAATAAATGATTTCTTTAATGAATATTCAGGGTCAAGCTACTCATGCTTTTTTTTTTGTGGCTAAATCTATCCAAAGTTAGATAAATCCTATTTGGCCTCGGGGAAAAGTACAAGCTCTGATCCAGAAAATAAGGCAAGCTTATAAGTAATATGACATCAAATCTGCGAGTTTTCCTCTAATTAATCGTGCTTGGAAGAATATTTAGAGTTTGAATTCAACACCAACGGGATCTTAAGGGAAACGTATGCTCTAGAAACCATATATCAATTCATCCATGTACAAGAGCATATGAACTTATTTACCCTGCCGCATTTCGAGTTTCTAAAGAGTAACCCAACTGTGACTGATCAGTCTCGACTTCTTTCTTCTA